TGCTTATATGGCTGTTTTTGAGTATGTGTGTTGCTGACATGTATTTGCTTCCGTTAGGAAGTCCCATTTCCATTTCTGCCTGGAAAATGGAACTTCTTGTCCCTGTCTTTCAGTGCCAGGTAAGACCCTTGCTAGGGTCATAATCAACAGGATTTGTGATCACTTGCTCGCCTACCAGCAACCAGAGCAGTCTGGTTTTATACCCATGAAGCCTACCATCGACTGCATCCCAGCACTGAGAGTTCTCATCAAGATCAAGCGCAGATGCAAATATCGGCAAAGTTTCTTTGCAGTCTTTGTTGATTTTTATAAAGCGTTCAACTCAGTTGATCGAGTTGCCCTGTGAGGCATCCTGAAACTTTGCCGGATCCCCCCAAAGTTGTTGGGCATCATGGCCGGCCTTTACATTGGGACTGTGAGTGCTGTGCAGAGTAGATGCAGAACATCTGCGTTCTTCCCAGTTGATTCTGGGGTTCGTCAGTGGTGTTTTCTTGCTCCTGCTGTGTTCAATGCTTGCATGGACTGGTTGTTGTGCAGGTTTCCGGTGGTCCAGCGGCTGTGGAGCATCTGTTGGTGAAGAAAGATTCACTGGTCTTGACCTTGCAGATGACGCTGTGATCTTTGCAGAATCAACGAAGGCTCTGATCAGGACTCTCAAGAGACTGAGTCTGAGTGTCTGGGATTGCGGGTGTCCTGGATAAAGACCAAGATCCAGGCATTTAATGACCTCTTGGGGCACAGCCATCGGCAGTGTGTCTGTTTGCAGAGAGAATGTCAGCCACATTGACAGGTTTAATTACCTTGACAGGGACATTCATGTCTCTGGTGGCTCTTCCTTTGAAGTCAGTAGATGGATTTGGAGACCATGGGGGATCATGAGGTTACTGGAAAAGGTTTTGTGGCGCTCCTGATATCTTTGTAAGAGGATGAAGGTCTAAGTCTTTAGAGACCTGGTGCTCCCTGTCTTGCTGTATGGCTGCGAGACATGGACGCTATCCTGTGACCTACGATAAAAACTGGTCTTATTTGGTACAGTCTCTTCGAAGAATCCTTGGGTACAGCTGAATTGACTTTGTGTCAAATGAGCGGTTGCTCATGGAGTCCGGAATGAGGCACGTTACCTGCATTGTGAGGGAGCGTCACTTACAGCACTATAGCCATGTGGCATGATTCCCTGAGGGTGATCCAGCTCACAGGATCCTCTATGCTGAGGACCCGAGCGGTTGGACCAGGACAAGGGGGCACCCATGTAACACCTAGCTGCAGAAGATAGATAGCCATTTCTGGAGGGTGGGACTGGTCCACATGTCAGCCTGGGGGGTTGCCAACTGGGATCACAAGATGTTTCATTGTGTGGTGAGTATGGTAACACGCTGTACCAGTGCATGCTCTCCAAACTGACCTGACCTATGTTGCTGCTTTATTGTGCTCTAGGTGGTTGGGTAGCCCAGAAGATATTCCTAAGATACCTTCATTGCAGCACAGCACACCTTCTCAGAGAGATAGAAACCTTGGCAGTGCACAGATGCCCAGAACACCAGTACTGTTTTTTATGTTTCCATATCTGTTTACAGCACATTTACAATACTGTGCAAAACTCCATTAATGAAGATGATGTTTAAATGATGTTCATGTTTGTGTAAAACTATGACGTTATGCCCATGACACAGTATCAGCTTAAACCTCTTAGCCATTTTGCCCCAGTATTTGCAGTAACCAGCCAATTGACCCATTTACTTTTTCACCAGACCACTAGCACTCCTTGTGTGACTAATCAAAACCTCACAGAATAATTTAACTAATTAAGATAAATTAATTGAGCTGATTGTGGAATTTACCAAAGTCATAGAAAGGCTGGGGTGCCCTTGAAGAGAGGTTCAGAACCCAAAGCAGTGTTCATCCCACAAGATATCAGTAATGTATTGGAGAACAGAACAAATTCTTGTTAGTTTTTATTACTGTTACTATTAATTTGCCTATGTTCTAATGTTAAATTGTGTTTTTTTCTGAACAAAATACATTTACTACCCAGATAAATATCCTTAATCAATATATTTAACTGCCAAAGACTTTTGCATAGTGCTGTGTATGCTATTATGTGACAGATAAAGCTTGAAACCGATGGCCGAATGGATACACTGTTGCCTCTTGACTCCAGAGTTGGGTCTTTGAGTTCTGCTTCTGCTCCATGTGCCTGTGCAGTTTACCTGTTTTCTCTCTTTGTGCAGATTTCCTCTGGGTACTCAAGCTTCCAGGTGACCCTGACCAGCATAAGTGATTGGGAGAGATGGGTGGATTAAACTTTAAATGCTTAACAGTTTTTAACGTCTTTAAATGGAGAAATGTATATCTGGAGATTCAGTAAAACAGTGGGTGCACATTACTTGGCTGTTAATGATTTAAGCTAATTGTTTAAGAATGTGGGAGTGAAAGCGTTAAGCACCGATAGTCTCCTCAAGAGAAACTATCTGAAGAGTCAGCATACTTCATATGAATTAATTGCCAGCTAGCATGCTTGCACTGATTTGTCTAAGAAGAACACAGGGATCAAATTCCAGTGTACAGCCAATTGCTGAAAAAACATATTTGTTTTGACAAGTACTTTTATCTGTTACTAGGTGAAAGGAGTATGTCTGCCTGTAGGGGTTTGTGGATCAAGGCCTCGAGTATGTGCGTGATTGCAGGATTCAGACTTGTGTTTCCACTTAATGAGTCTTGGCAAAGCACACTTCCCCAGCTTCAGGTAACGGTCACCTCAGGCCCAAGCACTGTACTGTAGGTTTACTAAGAACTTGTTTTTTCAGTTTTTATTATTCAGCCAGTAAATAACTTGGACAAAATTGTCAAAGACTATTAAATCAAGGGCAAGCATGTACAGAATAGTAATTTCCTGCATTTATGTACTTCCTATTTCCATGGAATCCCTAAGGGCGCCTGTCTACTTCTGAGAGCTCAGTGATTCTGACTATGTGTGCAGAACATGGCACTGGCCACAGGGGGCACTCTTTCACCTTCACTTATTAACCCCTATTGCTGCCCACCACACATCACCAGGAGAGACAACATGTTCTCCAAGTAAAGGAACAGAGCATTTATGTGGCTATTAATCTTAGCATAACTGTCATCAGAATCACTATCTCTTTCTTCCTCTTTCAGTTACAAAAAGGCATTACTCTTCTGCCTCATCTTTAACGTTGCAAGCCCACACCACCTCCCCCACAGGCTCACCCACCCCAGATCCAGCAGGGGTAGGTGGCCAATCAGATGGCTGGTGGGCAACAGGACCCTCCCACTGAGCCTCCCAAGGTCACCCACAGGGAGAGGAAGCTAGCTGCTCACACAATGACATGCAAATGCACATGAAAAGATATAATCAACTTGCACAAAATGAAATAAACATGTCACATCACTCTAAAAATCAGTCTGTAAATCAAACACCAAAAATTCACATTTTGGGGCCCAAATAATTATAATGTCCATTTTAGAAAGTAAGACCATTAATGACTCCAATGTTCAGTATTTTATCTAACATTTATTTGGCACACAATGACTTTACAGAAGTGTTGAATATTACATTTCATTGATGCGTTTTTTTTAATTGATTAAATAAAAGATCTGATTAAATTCTGAACCAGGTGTCCTGATAGGCAATGACCTGGGTCAATCATGGCACAGTTTATGTCACTATTTTGGACAAAGGATTCAATGGGGTATGGCTTATAAATATGACAGCACCACTGAAATGTGAGATGGGAAAGAGACACTTTTTGAAACATGACATCTGCATCTCTATGTCTGCAAATCTCCAATACACAGTATACAAACCCCAGGCACACCAATGAAGGATACTCCTGTGTAGCAGGCCTGTGAGATTGGAAGTAAAAAAGAAAGTACTTCAGCCTCAGTAGCTTGGCTGGGGAGAGAAGCTGTGTAACTTGGTAAGAGATTAGCTAACACACTGTGCTGCAGTCTAGCCTAAAAGAGGCCACCAGGTCACTCCACGTCAGTGACTTTGGTCCTGTTAGATCAATAGTAACTTAAACTCTGCAATGGCCACCGGTAGGTTACGAATCCACCGACCTTAGCGGCTCTGCTAGGTGGAGAAGCACCTGCAGGCTATTCTGTAAATCGGAGTTGAGGTAGAAGCCTACCTCACGGCCTAAAGGCTGTAGGGGCAAGAGAGGAGCTGTTCACACTGGCCGGGGTGGAAGGTGAGAGAGCAGAAGTGTAGCTGACTCTTAAAGAGACACATGTATTACCATTAGGCAATTCCACCCTACAAAAGCAAAATGAAGCAACTGCGCTGAAACTAAAAAAAGGGGTTCAACATTTTTTGACTGCCCACTCATATATGCAGTAGGCATGTAAATGACAGTGTTTTCGTCAATACCAAGCATTGTTGAGCTAAAATATTTTATCGATACAAGAGACACAATTTAAGTCATAACTCAGTTTTGATAAAATAAGCAATTACTGTGTCTTGTCTGTGTATGGCAGAATTGTAGGCATACAGTTATATCCTTGAAAAACACACATTCTGCATCATTCTGAAGATGGAATTAGGCAGGAATATTAGGTTACTACAATTGTTCCAGGGTAAAAATCTGAATGCATTTTTAAGATTAAAGACCTCAGTATTTTTTTTTACAGTATTATTCTAAATTCATGTATAGAGAAATGACAACTATTTTCATTTTAGAGAATTCATTTGAAACACAGGCAAATAGCCTTGCGGCAGGCAAGTGATAATCTTATGTGCGTCCTTTTTCGCATTTGCTTGTTTGTGTGTGTGTGTGAGAGAGAGAGAGAGAGAGAGAGAGACCGTGTGAGAGAGAGAGAGTGAGGGAGAGAGAGAGACAGAGAGACCATGAGAGAGAGAGAGAGTGAGAGAGAGAGAGAGAGAGAGAGAGTATCTGGA